CCGTGCAGGCCGCGCCAGGTCGTGCGCAGGTCGTGCCAGGCCGCGTGTAGGCCGCCCATAGTTCGCGTCAGGCCGGCTAGACTGGTGCCTGGGTGGGACACCAATTTGGTAAGTTGTTGCCTTGGTGTTTGCCTAGTTGTTACGAGATGCCACGTGTCGCAATTTCACTGGGGGCCAGATCTACCCTCATCAAGTACTGTTAAAAATTAAATAATTACTRTTAGTTGTAATAATTAATTAATAAAAAATACCGAAATTAAATAATAGTATTACTGCTAAATTTTAGTACTATTTAAATAAATACCAAAATTACTGTGAAGAGTCTTATCGTGGGAAGACTCCTACATTGTGAAGAGTCTTGAAGACTCCTACTCTCAAGACTCCTATTATGCTAAGATATCTAAATGATAGAGTTTGAGATGTCGTTTATGTGATCCAATCCTGGTGGATTTTAATGACCTGAAGTCTTATTTCGACTACGTTTGGCCAAAATGGGCCTGATTTTTTTAATAAAAATGGGCTAAATGGGCATAGTTAGTGCTGTCTGATACCTACACAGTCCAGATTTCCTATTCGATCACTTTTCTTACCCACTCTCTAGTCTTTACCTGTCATGAATTGCAGCACACATCTCTCAATTCATAATAGAGTGTGTGGCTCTTGGCTCTAATTCACGGTAGGTAGAGAGTGGGTAGGAAATCCCGAGTGCCTTAATTCACCCTTGACCTGCTTTAATTGGTTATGTAACCCCCCTGGTGATTTTCTGAATATCTATGAAGTGTATCTCTTTTGGATTCAACTATGATATGGAAAAGATATGATATCTGAAAAACAATAAATCAATAAACTGGAATCATAAACGTGATAGCAAATAAGGTGTTATTTATTAAAATTTATGGGTGGATTTTGTTTGATCATCAAAACTCATTCATATCATATATTTTCCGCATCATAAATTAAAAAAATAAAAAATAAAAAATTCAGATGGTCATTTGGAGTCCCTTCAAAAAGGAAGATGTAGGATCCTACCAAGTACCAACTTATAGAACTGCAAGTTCTTTGTGGCATGGCCGGTGAGACTCACGTACTGACGTATATGCACAAGTGCTGTGATGAGTTAAGCCAATTAGAGAAGAGAGATGAGATCCTTTTGTACCCATTCGGTGTCCTCCCATTCAAAGGATACGTATCTACTCACACTTTTCATTCATTGTGTCCTATGTGAAATTTAATTAAAACTAAAATAAAACGATTAAAAAAAAAAAAAACAATCCAAAAGAATTCTAACGCTCTTCTTTTCCCATGTTTTCTAAAGTTGGTTTCTCTCTGTCTCTCATACTCCTCTCACCTGAAACCCTCTTCATCTTGAATCGGGATTTGTTCCTCATAAGCCCCATCGCACTGTATATTAGAACATCTCCCATAATTAACAACACAAAGTACAGGAAAAGTTCCCCATGTACAGTTGGGACGCATTGTGAGATTGGTGTCATGGTGTGAGGAGGGACTCCTCCACCTTCTTCTTAGAAAGGTAAAAAATACTAAAATTTGTAAGCAATAAAAGAAAAAAAAAAGCATACAAAGTATATACCGAGAGCATTTTGATCTGCTACCAACAAAGGCTCCCAGTTCTGTCCCAACAATCTATGAAACATGACTGCAGTGGCCTGTTTGGAGCGTTTTGTTGGTAGCAGATCCCTACCCATACCAAGAAGGCTGCCGAGAGCTGCTTTGGCAGAATGTGACACAACAGAAACCAACAAATATTCCAAAAAGAAAAATGGCAGACCCAAACCCACAGAAATCCAAGCCCAGGCCCACAAGCAACAACCGCCAAGCAACACACCACCATCAACCCGAGCCAAATAGGAGAAGGCAGATATTATACCTTTGTATGAGTTCAGGCATTCTTTGACGTAAAAAGTTCTCCTCAGGTGGTTGGTGAATGGTGATTAGTTGAAGATAAAGATAGGAATAGGATGTCAACATTCTTTGACGTAATATTCAACATCTCCCAATTCTCCATTTTGATGTCTGAATCGAATGAATGGGAGGATTCCGGTTCCGTTAGAGAGAGAGAGAGAGAGAGAGAGAGAGACAGGAATTCAGGATCCTCCAAATATAGGGAATTAGTACAACAGTAAATGTCCCCTAAATATAGAGGCCAAGATGAGCTAATTTTGCTCTCCCTCACCCATTTTGTTTCCTTTCTCCGGATTTCCGGTCTCAGTTTAGTAGTCCCCGTTTCCTGGCGTTGTCATTTTGTTCGCATGATATCGTTGGAAAAGCCAACGACGCCCTGTCTCTCTGATCTCTTTCCCTCAGTTATGCCGACCATCTCACCTTCTCTCCTCGGGCCGGATATCTGACGGCATCCCATCGCCGGTATCTGACCCTCCCCACGTCCAAGTCCAGCCACGATGAAATCCTTCGACATGGGTTACCAACACTCCCACCGCGACTCCCTGGCCGAGTTGTCAACGACTTCCCAATCTGAATGTGGCATATCAGGAACCGAGGTGGACTGGCCGTTCGGGAAAGTCGAGGGGGTGGACCAAGACGATTTGAGACAGACGGCATACGAGATTTTCTTTACGGCGTGCCGCTCGTCTCCAGGGTTTGGAGGGAAGAGCCCGTTAACGTACTACAACACTTCAACACATGAGAACGGGGATGTGGGAGTGGGAGGAGTAGGTGGTGGCGTTGGAGCAGAGACGAGAGCTAATTGGTCAAATTTGATGGGGACGAGTAGGATAAAGAGGGCACTTGGGTTGAGGTCGGCGAAGCGGGTGTGGCAGAGGAGGAATGGTGGATCAAATCAGTTTTCACCCAGAAGTATGGGATCCCCAAGATCGTGCACGGGGTTTGGCTCTAGTAGCCATGCTTATTTTAATACAACACCACCGTTAAGGATGAAGCGGCCATTGACGTCTGCGGAGATCATGAGGCAGCAAATGAAGGTGTCAGAGCAGAGCGACAACAGGCTTAGGAAAACCCTCATGAGGACCCTTGTTGGCCAGGTACGTACGTAACGTGCATGCTTTAATTCTTCTTCATTCTCTGCCTCTGCAGCTATCAAACACATTTTAATGGTGGTCGGTTTTCACATTCGACGCTGGTGTTCCATTCAACTTTTTTTTCGGCTAATTAAAGATGCATGTAACATCTTATCAAACAGCCTAGCTTATTCCCTACGTACAAGAACGCTTGAACCCAGAAAAAAAAAAAAACAATAACAATAACAGACTCCTTTTTTGGCTTTTCCAATCTTAAAACATTAAAAATTCCCTCACTGATAATTCTGTTATCCTTCCATTAATCTAAAATGGAGAAAGTTGACAAATGCAAATTAATTTCTCGATTTATTCCCATGTTTTGCTAGCTGCATACGCTGATTGCTTAGTGTGTGCAGATTTGCCAGCTATTAATTAATTAAACCATCAAACTCATTAATTATTCTGTTTTTTATTATAATGAACAGATGGGTAGGCGATCTGAGACAATCATCCTGCCTCTTGAGCTCCTCCGCCACCTAAAGCCATCTGAATTCAATGATGCTCATGAGTATCATCTCTGGCAGAAGCGTCAATTCAAGATTCTTGAAGCGGGTCTCCTCATCCATCCTTTAATCCCATTAGACCTATCAAACACTTACGCAGTGCAACTCCAGGATATCATTCGAGAGAGTGAAACCAAACCTTTGGACACCGGAAAAAACTCTGAAATCATGCGAACATTATACAGCAGTGTTGTTTCATTATCAATGCGTGGTGCTAATGCATCGCCGGCAGGTGCGTGCCACTGGGCAGATGGTTACCCCATTAACATCCACCTCTACGTCGCTCTTCTCCATTCAATATTCGACCTCAGGGATGAGACAGTGGTCCTTGATGAGGTCGATGAATTGCTTGAGCTAATGAAGAAGACATGGTCTACATTAGGAATCAACAAGTCAATACATGATGTCTGCTTTGCATGGACCCTCTTTCAACAGTATCTCACAACAGCACAGACAGAAGTAGACCTTCTATCTGCTGCTGTTACTATGTTGGCTGAAGTGGCAAATGATGCCCAGAGAGATCATGGAGATGTTATATACATGAAGATCTTGTCAGCGGCATTATCTTCGATGCATGTTTGGTCGGAGAAGAAATTGCTTGATTATCATGAAACCTTTCAGAAGGTGACAATGGGAGTGATGGAAAACCTTCTCCCTCTTGCACAATCTGTGACAAAGATATTGGAGGAAGATGTTGGAATCCTATCAGCAATGGCGCCGGAGAAAGCGGATACTTTTCTAGGTTCCACGGAGGATAAGGTGGATTATTACATTAGATCGTCTCTGAGAAATGCTTTCGCTAAGGTACACAAAGCCATAATCTTTCCTTTTCTTTGTCAATTAAAGATCTTAGAAAACTGGAGTGTTGGCAATATATAGTATAGTCATTTCTAGCTAATCATCTATAGTTGGACATGTTGATCTTAAAAATTTACTTTCTTTCTTGATAAAAGTATTTCTGTATCTGTTCTATACTATGTACTAGTATAAAACCTATGAATAACCTGTTAAGATTTCTGGGCTTGACGAAGTGTCCATGTTTTTAAGTTATTGTCTCACATTTTTTAATCTATTGTATTAACTATAACACTATAAGTTCATTCTATTCCCTCACATTGTTTTACTAGTAAATTTGTGCGTGCTTTGCACCGGCAATTTTAAATGATGAAGATAGTAATATACATCCAAATTATTTTAAATTTTGTATATATTTTGATGTATATAAAATAATTCTATATTAAAGATGTCCCAAATGTTTTTTACAAATATTATGCATTTTTTGTTTTTGTTTTTCTCTAATTTTTATTATTTAATTATGACATCATGGCTTGACCCATTTGACCCAAATGGTTGAATTGCTTATCCACCACTTAGATAGAAGGACAATTTCATTTTTTTTGTTCAACTTTGAAAAAAATGAGATTTATTGTTAAAAGTATTGAGTTGTTAGTAAGAAAATATCCTAAATATATCATTTAGTGAGATAGAATACGTGTTGGCCTCTCAAATATATGACTTAATGAGAGGGATTTGAATGAGGTGAAAAATAATAATTCAAAATATATTTTTTGCCCTCACAATTAAAATGGGACTAAATTCAAATTACATTTTTTACATTTGTTATATTTCCCTGTGCATAAAAATAATTCTTATTTATGACACTTGTTTTTGTTTAATACGATGAATATACAATATTAGAGATGTGCCCAAACATTTGTTATATGATGAATATACACTTATTTATGACACTTGTTTTTCCATTTTATTTTTTAATTTTTATTGTTTAATTATGACATCAAATATTGGCACATCTAAATTAAGAGTTGAATTGTTGATCTAGATCAAATAGGAAATCAATTTCATTTTTTGGTTGGTTTTAAAATTTGTGTTTCATTTCCATTATCAATATAAACAATTCTTGTTTATGGCATTTATTTTTGTTTATTATGATTAATATAAAATATCAGAGAAATAGCCCACATGGATTCACCGAATTGACCCTAGATGGTCAAATTGGCTTAGACACCACTTGGATGGAAGAATGGTTTCATTTTTTTTGGTTAATTTTAGAAAATGATAAATTGCTGAAACCTACCTTAAAGTTTCTGGCCGTTGCTGAAATCTCCCCGAAGTTTGGTAATTGCAATCAGTTCCCTTGAACTTTCCAATACAATTGCAAGTAGACCCTTTCTCTTAGAATCCTCTAACAAGAGGCACACAAATGCCCAACATACCCATGTAGTTACTATTGAAGCTAGTTTTTGCATAACATAATGCAAACTTTATGAACAACAAAAAAAGAAAGTTTAAAATTGCAACTTTTTGAAGCATTCATATAAAGGGAAAATTTATAAAATAAATCAATTTTGGAAAAGAGGTTGGAAGGGTTTGAGATAGTGATTGATATGAAGGGAAGATATGGAAAATAAACATTTTAGTCAAAGTAACAAAATGGTTATTTTGGACATTTTCATGCCTTTTATTAGAGGATTATAGGAGAAGGGGTCTACTTGCATCTGTGTTAAAAAGTTCAAGGGAGGTGATTGCAATTATCAAATTTTAGGGGAGGTTTTAGCAATGGTTAGAAACTTTAAGGGGGGGGGGGTTAGTGTTTTATCCTTTAAAAAATATGGGATATTACATTATTAACCCTCAAAATTAAAGAGATATAGGGGTAGCTTAGTAAAAAGGAAAGTTCCACACCCTCATTGAGTTTAATAGTATATATATATAATAGGGTCATTTACTAAAACACCCCCTATAGTTTGCAATCAATTTACTTAATCGACCTCCCATTAGATGAAAGTGAAAAAGTTTTAACCTAAAATCCATTCAAATAAATTTAATGTAAAGAAACTAAAAGAAAATTTTCATTTTTTCCCCTAGTAAAACATGGACAATCACTATATTCTTCTCTATTTGATCAATTTTGTTTTTTATGAAAAAGTGTTAGGGGTAATTTTAGAATAAACAACCATGGATCCATATCCTTGAACATTTTTCACTCATTTTAGGGGTACTTTTTGGAATAAATAACCATGGGTGAACATTTTATATTTAGTTTAGGTGATTATGTTACTATATTCAAATGGCAAAACAAATATTTCTTAATGAAAGGTCGACCAAGTAAATAGGCTGCAAACTATAAGGGGTGTTATAGTAAATGACCCTATAAAATAAAAAGTAAATATACACAAAAAAATCAACTTCATGTAGATTGCACATGACAAATTTTAAATTATTATTATTATTATTATTACTACTACTACTACCGCTACTACTGCTACTACTACTTACTACTACTACTTCTACTACTGCTACTATTACTACTACTACTACTACTAAATTTTAACCATGAGTTTATTTGAAAAGTTTGATCATTGACCCACCATCTAGATAGGAAAATATCTTTTCTTTTGTATTAGTTTTAAATTATATATTTTATCTACACAATATAAATATTTTTTACTTATTACACTAAATTTTTGTTTGATATAATTAATATATAACATTAGAGATTTATACATTTTTTTTATAATTTTTGTATTCTTTTGATTATTTGTACATATTTTTACTTTTTAAAGATTTATTATTTAACTATGACATCATTAGTTAATTCATTAGACCCAAACCAATAATCCCACCACCCAAAAAGGACAATAGTTTTTTTTTTCAAAAAAAGAAAGGAAAGTAGGCTGATTTTTAGATTGACTTTAAATTTTGTATTACATTTATATCAATGATAAAATTAATTTTTATGTATAATATTTATTTTTGTTCAATATAATGAATGTATAATATTATAGATGTACCCAATATTTTATTTTTTATAAATATATAACATTAGATATGTGCCCAAAATTTTATCTAGTTTTTTAATTTCTGTGATTATTTTTATTTTCTATTTTTTAAATTTTGTTATTTGACCATGACATCATTTCATTTATAGGTTGGTTTTAGATTTTACATTCCATTTTCATCATTAATAAGAATACTTCTTATATTTCATACTTATTTTTGTTTAGTATAATGAATATACAATATTAGGGATATACTTAATTCTTTTTGTTTTTCTATATTTTATATTTTATTTATTTTAAATTTTTATTATTAAAGCATGACATTGTTGATTAACCCATTTAACCCCAAATGGTTGAATTGCTTACACACCACCAGGAGGGAAATGGTTATATTTTCAAAATATTTATTTTTATAGTAATAAAGTTAATATTGCGGATTTAATTAGTAGAATTTAATGATGAGAAAAATATATGTTGAATATAGGATTTAATGAGAGAATATAACTTAAATATGAGATTTATAGGAAAAAAGTTTTATTTCAAATTAGCTTTAAATTTTATATTCCATTTCCATCATTAATAAAAGTAATTATTATTTTCCATACTTATTATTTTTTAATATGTAAAATATATGATGTTAAAATTGTTCCAAAATTTTCTTTAATTTCTATTTTTTTGCATTTTATCTATTTTCAAATTTTATATTACTTAATCCTGACAACATTATTTTTGGTATTTAACATAACACACTAACTTTTCAATAGGTGTATAATTGTGGCAAAATGAGTTGGGCCATTTTGACCCAAAATGGTTTAATTTCTTAACACCACCTAGATGAAAATACTATTTTTTTATATGTAGATTTTTAAAAGTATAAGTTTTTATGTTATTGGAATTATTAATTTATTATGTATGAATTTAATTAGTAGAATTTAGTGATGAGAATAAATAAAGATGCTTTAAATATATGATTCAATGAGGGTGAATGAGAGTTAGTACCTTAAATGTGTGGTTTATGAGAGGGATGAATGCATTGAATATTAGCATTTAAATTACATTTTCTACCCTCACAATAGAGGGATCATATATTCATATTTCAAAAGGGGGTATTTTAGTCAAGAAAAATTCCAAAAATTTAGAGGTCATTCATAATTTTTATAGTAGTATAGATATAGATATTAATGTATTAATTGCCTTCCTCTCATTAAATTTAATATTTAAGGTACTTTTGCTCCTCACCATTACAATCAATTTGTCAAACTATCCAATAACTTTAATGGTATGAAAATCCATACTTTTAAAACCAAATAAAAACAGATTTTTCTTTTTTCTATCTAAGTGGAAAGTAAACAATTTAACCACTTGAATCAAATGGGTTAACCCATGATGCCATAATTAAATAACAAAAAAGTTTTAAAATAGATAAAATTCAACTTACATAAATTTTGTACAAAAAATTTAACACATCTGTAATATCATATATTCTTAATATTAAGTATGATAAATAAGAAATACTTTTATAAATAATGGAAATGGAATATAAAATTAAAACCAACTTAGAAAAAAAAGCGTTTTCTATCTATGTGGCTGATTACTGGTTCAACCATTGGGGTTAAATGGGTCAACTGTGATATCATAGTCAAATAATAAATTTTCAAAAAGGAAAAAAATATAAAATATAAAAAGATAATAAAAAGTTTTAGGGCACTTTTCTAATATCTTATGTTATTTATAGTGAACAAAAACAAATGTGATAAACAAAACCTGTTTTTATTAATGACAGGAATATAATGTATGATGGACTTAGTTGGAAATGAAACTGTTTTCCTATCCAGGTGGTGGGTTAATGGGTCAATCCATGATGTCATATCTAAATAATAAAAATTTGGGTAAAAGACTTAAACCTCCCCTAAGGTTTTTCTTAAATACTGAAACCTCCCCTCTCTTTTTAACTTGGACTAAAACCCCCCCGTAAGTTATGTCTAATAGAGTAATTAAAATGACTATTTTACCCTAATTGATTCTTCAAATTTTCAAAATATTGGAAACTCTGTGACCGTCACAGAGAGTTTTGTGTATTAAGGGACATGTATTCTCAAGCACAAATAAAAAGATGAGCATTTGTACTAAAAACAAGATGAAAATTTCTTAAAAATGATGCGCACCATTTTAGAGAAGAAATACCTCTTTATTTCAATATAGCCTAGAGAAAAATCAGTGTTTGCATTAGTTCTACCTATCATCCCAAACCATATTCTCTGTACAAGACCATAATGATCAAGTGAAGCAGGAATCCTTTCTTTCGGTTTCAAAAGCTTTTATTAATTTGTATACTTGAGAGAGAGCTCAATATTTCCTTTTCCTATCTTATTAGTTGCTTATTCAGCTGCCCATTTTTTGTTTTTCTTTTTCAAGATTTTTGATATCTATTTTTCAGAAAAATAAGTTGTTTGAAATGTCAACTTATTTTGATCACAACTAATATTTAGTTTTGAAATTAATGAAAATTCAATTGGGTTCTTGATTCATAGAAAAACTGCGCAGATACTCTGGAATGGAGATTCAATCAATTTGATCGATTTAAAGGGTCATATTTTAATTGATGCTCACTAAAAAATGCAAATCGAGTGTTCTAATGTTGATTTGAACACAAACTCTTTTAGAGAAGAATATGTTGATTCATCAGTTCAAGGGCTCATTAAGAGTTTTGAAAGAAATAAATGCAAATGATTCTGAGCGGCAAGAAATCGATTCTTGAACTCAGACCTCTTCAAAATATGAATTGTTATAACAGGCCTTTCAGGATTTTGGGTGGTTTTTTTAAGTGAAGGTAAAAGGACTATAAGAGGAAAAAAATGGGAATTAAAAAAAAATTTAACAATAAATGATATAATGTACAAATACATCTTGACAAATTATTAATGGAATGGAGATCTTTGTCCTATAATTTCACCCGACAGGAGGTTTAAGTCCATTTTGAAAAGAGAGGGGAGAGGGGAGGTCTTAGTATAAGATAAACATTGGGGGGGGGGGGGGGGTTAAGACTTTAACCCTAAAAATTTAGAAAGATAAAAGTAAACAAATTATTATTAGTATTATTATTATTATATGAAATCAAGGTTTTTGAATCATCGTTGAGGCAACTGGTTGGATCATTTGGCCCGGGAACCGTTCAGTCAACTGGTTCCGTTTTACCTAAAATCGTTGAAAAAAGTTAGCAAACCGTTGATCCAGACGGTCAAACCATCAACCTGTTGACTCATTCAACGGTTTTGATAGTTTTTTTTATTTTTAATTATTTTTTTTAATTTATTTGTTAGAATGGACCATTTGTTAGAACTGAACGGTCAAACCATCAACCTGAAAACCGGATTATGTTTCTGGGTCGTTTTTTAAAACGCTGCATAAAATTACCACATGCTACTATGCTAGTGTCATCTAAGTTTGAACATGGTAATTAACTTTCTTTCCATTTGTATGTCAAAGATGGTAGAAAATGGGAATATTGTCGATAACATGACTGCTGGAGTAGAAGATACAACTGAAGCTTTTCTTCAATTAGCTAAACAAACAGAAGATTTAGCCATGACGGAGAAGAAGACGTTTAGTCCCATACTCAAGAAATGGCACCCCTTTGCAGCAGCAATTGCAGCGGTAACCCTTCATGAATGTTATGGGACCGTTTTGAAACAATACTTGTCTGGGGTTTCTACCCTCACAAATGAGGCTATTATTGTCTTGCAAAGAGCTGGAAAGCTAGAGAAGTTTCTGGTTCCGATGATTGTCGAGAACTCTGACGATTGTGATGGAGGTAAAACGATAGCAAAGGAAATGGTTCCATATGAAGTTGACTCTATTATCTTGAGCCTCTTAAAAAGTTGGATTGATGATAGGTTAAAAAGTGGGAGGGAGCTTCTTGAAAGAGCCAAAGAAACTGAGGTAATAGATTGCTATATATATCTAACAACACCATTAACATATATACTTGTTGATGTTGAGAAAAAAAAGAAAGAAAAAAAACTAGAATTTCTCTTGCTTCCTTGTATTGATCCTTCTTAAAATTAAGGAAAACAATTATATCTTGGAATTGGGGACTGATGGGTTGTTTTTGTTTTCTATAGACATGGAATCCAATGTCCAAAACAGAGCCATATGCGCATTCTGCTGTGGATCTAATAAAGCTAGCCATGCAAACTGTAGATGACTTCTTCAAGATCCCGGTTGGAATATCTAATGATATGGTTCAGGATCTCTCTAATGGCCTAGAGCTTGTCTTCCAAGACTATATTACATTTGTTGCAACATGTGGTAAGTGTTGTAGAGCTTCTCTTCCATGTTCCCTAGCTACATTAATCTGTAATCTAATATATATATATATAGGTGATCTTTCTTCTTTAACTATATATACATATATTTCATTTATAGTATTAATGGTTTTGTTTGTTTGTTGTTGCTGGTTAATTATTAGGATCGAAGCAGAGTTATATCCCTTCACTTCCTCCTCTTACGAGATGTAGTCGAAGCTCTACATTTCATAAGTTTTTGATGAAGGCAGCCTCTTGCAAATATGGAGCAGAGTTTTCAGAGCAAGGTAGATTCCCAAATAGTCAGAATCCTCGACCATCCACAAGCCGTGGAACACAACGACTGTACATTCGTCTTAATACCCTCCATTACCTTCTCACCCACATCCATTCCCTTGATAAGACAATTTTCCTCTCCCCTCGTCCAGCTATGTCCTCACCTCACACCCGGGTGGCCAGCGTTAGGCGAAACGTTTCCACAACACCAGCCTACTTTGATCTTGCTCGGTCATCCATCCAAACAGCCACCCAGCATGTTTCAGAGGTGGCTGCTTATCGTCTTATTTTCCTAGATTCAAGTTCTGTATTCTATGAAAGCCTCTATGTGGGTGGTGCGGAAAATTCTCGCATACGCCCTGCACTGCGCATCCTTAAGCAGAACCTAACCCTCCTGTCTGCAATACTCATTGATCGAGCTCAATCTTTAGCCATAAAAGAAGTGATGAGAGCCTCCTTTGAGGCCTACCTTATGGTGTTACTTGCTGGGGGAAACGCCCGAGTGTTCTCCAAATCAGACCATGAAATGATAGAGGAGGACTTTGAGAGTCTCAAGCGTGTGTTTACAAGCGGAGAGGGCTTGGTAGTCGAGGACGTAGTGGATAGGGAAGCAGAGACTGTGGAGGGGGTGGTGGCTCTCATGGGTCAGTCTACAGAGCAACTGGTCGAAGACTTCAGTATTATAGCATGTGAAGCAAGCGGAATGGGGGTTGTTAGATCAGGGAAGAAGCTACCAATGCCTCCAACCACAGGAAGGTGGAATAGAGCAGACCCCAATACAATTTTGAGGGTGTTATGCCATAGGAATGATGGCATAGCTAATCGGTTCCTGAAGAGGACATTTCAATTGGCAAAAAGGAGATGAAGAAGAAGATGATTCACCTACATCACATATTCACATGGTATGTATGAGGAATTGAGGATCACTCACTTTATTTATTTAACCATTGATTGGTGTTTTATGGAATGTAGCATTTCCTCCAGGTAATTAACCACCAAGAAGATGGTAACGAGGCAAGTGACGCAAATACATGCACTATATTTATCGCTGTGTTTTATGTAAATATTGTTGTTCATTGTACAAATTTTTGTTTGTTTTCCTTTGATTTCATAGCATTAATTCATTGTCCATATCTTCATCATAGTCAACATGAGTCGAAGCTATTTCAAACTGCAATCTCTGTAATCATATTATAGTTGTAATTCATCCCTTGCTTTACTTGTGGTGTACTGCATCCTTTCTCCTGTTTAATTTGTCTCAACTTTGATCCACCCAAAGGTTCTTGTTGGCCCATATACATGGCTACAAGCTAGCACTGGCAGCAACCAGAAAAATGGCAAATAATGAAATTTTACTTCAAATAACCCTAAAGAAATGGTGCAGTAGAAATTGAGCATTTGAAATAACCTAAAAGAAGTATTGTGGGGCTGATAAAATGTTGCTTTTTTTTCAGATCAGAGTTAGGGCAGTTTTCTTCTTAGAAGAAAGAAAAGGAAATCTATGTTATCCAATTATTGCAACAGATTCTTTTGAAAGTTTGTGAAGCAAAATTACAACCAAAACCATTCTGAAGTATATATATATATATATATATATATATATATATACGTATACAAGGGAATTGGTGAGTTGGTTCAGGATAACTCGCAACAATATCAAAATAATTAACTGATAATAATGAAAGATAGACAATCAAATAAGGCCCCGTTTGGTCCCCTGGAATAGGGGTCTGGAATCAGAATCGGCTATACTGATTCCAATTGTTTGATTGGGTGGAATCGGAATCCTATTCACATTCCTGCTGGAATGACATTCCCCCATTTGAAGGAATGGCCATTCCCTTCCTCTTCCTTGGGAATAAAATTTCACTCTTTCTGATTCCAAATCTCATTCCCATTCCTGTCTGAACCAAACAGACTATGGGAATGGACCATTCCGATTCTAATTCTGAAGGATTTTGATTCCAATTTCAACGGTGAATCAAACAGACACTACAACTTTAGTGATCAATACATAGAGCATAAAATGGGGGTCCAATTAAGCATTTTTTATACTTATCAAGAATGAATAATTCATTAATATGCAGGATTTTGTTTATTAAAACAAAAATAACTGATTATCATCACTGTGGCAGTAAATTTTGTTTTTAAAAGACAAAAACATGCATATTAGAAAACAACCCCTAAATATATTTCAATTAACATTACTGTTACCACTGCTTATAAAGAATAACATTTTCTTATACCCCCCAAATTATCTGATCCCACATTGTTTTTGTACAAGGGAATCGGGGGTGGTGCAGAATAGGGTGCATGTGAGACCCACTGGTACAGGTGTCAATGGACCGTTTTGAGTTGGACTCCATCCAAATCAAAATCAATTCGGACTGATTGGAGGGACCAATAAGACATTGAATTTGGATGGATTGGATGGATTAATAAGACATATTGGATTGAACCTGGTCCGTCCATAATGAATTTATATTGCATTGGGTTGGGTTGAGCCAATATCTGGTCCATTGATAGAAGATAAGAACATAAGTGTCAATGAATCAGGTTTGAGTTGGAACCAATCTAAATTAACATGAATTTGAACAGATTGGACAATCCAGACATTGAACTGGACCTGTCCAAAATATTCATTGGACTGGATTGGACCAAGTCCATTTGTAATGGACTCACATTAGACTGAATCAGATTGGACCAAATCCAGTCCAATTGAGACCCCTACCCACTGGCCATGCCATGGAGAACCTATGGTTCCTCGGGTTTGAGTCAGTGCTTCCTAAATGGAGTGGATGACATGGTTGGAGGGGGTGTCATGTGACCATCTTGACTACTGGGTGGTTAATTTGTGCCAAATTAGAGTTTTCTTGATTACTGGGTGGTTTGATCCCACATCAAAGGGTAGTCCACATTGAAGGCAACTTAATGATGAACAAGAAATGAGTTCTCCATTAAATTGGACTACTCTAACTTTGACAAGTACTTTTTTTTTTCTTGTAACGGTTAAGCTTCCTTCTTAATCTGATTTAAACCACTCTTTGATGTGACTCCGGATCTCCTGCCCATGAGAATTCTACCCACGCCTACCCACAATATATTACTCCCCATGAATTGGGAACATCTCCTTTTGTATAATACTATGCAGAGGATGAGATGTTCTCTATATATGACTGCGATAAACGTGAACAGAATTCTCATGGGCAGGAGATCTGGACTCCTTTTATGTTGCATCATCTCATTTATTGACGTGAGGAAGCACTTGTACGAGCATACATATGAACCAAAACTCGTCAAATTAAGAAACATAATTGCAAACAAATCTCATTTCTTATTCAAGTTTTGTACATACATATTTGCAGTATTTGAATGGCATTCATGTATGTATATATGTATAAATGGTGTAAATATATAGTATACATAGATATATACATAATGCTAGGGGTGTAAATGGATCGAATTCGAATCGGATCAGGCAATATCTGAATCCGATTCAATATCCGATGGATATTGAAAATTATTATCCAAATTAAAATCCGATTAAATATTTGAATATTCGATTCAATTCGAATTCGATTAATTAATTATTTTAGATAATTAATAAATATATAAAATAAATATTTTGTTGATATAAAATATATAAATATATAAATTATTTATATAACTTAATTATTATATATAAATTATATAAAATATTTTATATATTATATATAAGAATTAAATAATCGGTCGAATTCGAATATTTATCAAATCGAATCAGGTCATATCCAAAGTCGAATCTGATTAACTATTCAATAAAAATAGGATATCCGAATTCAACCGATTGGATATTTGAATTATCCGAATTCGATTCGATTATATCGAATATCGACTTCAAAATCAGATTTTTGAATACCGTTTACACTCCTACACAATGCACAGATATACATTGGTGAATATATTATAAAAGGTCGAGCTAACTCGAATTGGGCTATTTGAAATACAAGCCCAACCCAACCCAAGTTTAGGTCAAGGTCGAAATTTATTAGCTCAACCCATGTAAAAGTTCGGATCGGTCTGGATTTCCATATGGACCTGCTCAAGTTGCAATTCTCTTTGGCTCATGCATATATACCATATGAAGGCGGAAAGCCTCCTTATAGCCAGTTAGCCACCAAAGAGATGAGCTCATATCAAACGTTATTCCACACGTTAGATTAAGTGAGCAATTAATGGTGGGACAAGACACTGGTCCCAGCAATAGAATGGTTGGACTTGAAATTCAATCTACATTCAATTTTGTCTCATCTGATGTGTTAATTTTCCACCTTAAGTTGTCCATTTAATCCGATCTGGATTAACCTTTGATGGGTTCATCCCATTAGTCCATTTCTTCCCTCTTATTTCAAAAATATTTCCTCTTTCTCAAATTCTCTCTCTCTCCCACTTTGATCAATTCAATTCACTCCTGGACAAAACCAAGTAAAAGCTTTAATAACACGTGACATCACAACTCAACTACATGGGTGGATGGACATGCACTTCAACCTCTCCACGATAACACCAGCAGTTCCTTGGAACATAGGCAATGGATGAGATATATGTGGGCAAGCATTCACAGGGCCTCGTACACTGAATTCAACCCATTCTGTGAATAGTCTTGGCTCTACATTGGCAGATACTATCGTGGAGTTCAGTGACTGGTTTATTAAATTCGATTGACAGAAAACTTCCTTCAGCGTCATCCAGAACAAGTTACATACGTGGCTAATAAATATATATGCGTGGCCCCTCTCAAGTAATGAATCCAGTTCAACAGGAAATTAACTCCTTGGACCCATTAGAGCCTTTTGCTCCCCTTGGTTCTATAGGTTGCATTCATCAAGGTATGCTGGCTTTTAATGCTCATTGTCTTCATCTCTGCAATATAATGCTTGTTGATATATCTTAGCAGATAGATCGATCCAGCTGTTTTGTACATACATCTTCTTGCTTTGTTTAATCTATACAAGTACTAATAAGCTGAGAGATTGCCTTCTTTCTATGCCAATATCTGTCAACATATTAAGAGAGCTAATTGTTCACTAAAATGTGACAAGATTAAGAGTAACCAATGTGAAATCTTCCTTAATTTATTGTGCTATGCCGGAGTCAGGTGGGCATTTGAATAAGACAAAACATATTATATTTCTTGAGATGAATTGTTAAATTATATGTAAGTACTTAATCTTAATTTTCTTAATTAGCGTTGATGGGTTTTGATGATGACCCATCAACAAGGGTTTGGAGTAGTGGTTTGGTACCCTAGGATTAATTTGTATAGAGCCAATTTTATGCAGGATTCGTGTACCTTGCTATTGTTTCACGTTAGGTAGAACTAGCAGCTTTATCTGTCGGTTCCACTCTTTTGAATTCCCAACACTGAGATTGATCGCAAGTGGTGCCAACATCTTTAAAATCAACATTTTCAAAATAAATCCTTTCAACTGTACAGCCATATTCGAATTGATTCGGGTGAGTGAATGTATACAGCTATATATTCATGAATTTGATTTTGGGAAGCCAAATTATGCTGATACAAATTAAGGTTGCTTTGAATCCCCAAATTATAGGGCATGTTTGGTTGAGATGCTTTTAGTGAAGCTATTAAATTTCCACTTGGGAGGGCTTTTACTTTTATACAGTGGTATCTAGCTTTGCAATAGGCACCACACAGAAAGCCATGAAGTGGTCCAGTCAAGGCAAGTCATTCTGGGCTTTATGGGGCTTTCACCAAATGGTGCTTATAGACTGTCTGGGTGGGGCCCATCTTAAAAAAGTTGCGCGGAAGCTGCTCATCCACTTAATTAAGCTTCATGCTTTGAAGCTTAAAATCACAAGTGCTTTATTTGACTTTAGTTTATAATGTTTTTGAAAGCAACTTTTACCAATTGCTCAAAAATTTTTTCAATTTCGTTTTCCACAGCCCAAAGGCAAGAACTTATCCAAATGGAGCCATCTTGAATGAAATTCATATTCATGTTACAAGGTCAAATATGTAAGGTGCAAATTTAAGGTTAGAAATATAATATACAAGGTTTTCTACTGTACACTATTGGCATAATGAGCCAAAATAACATCGTACTGCCTTGCATGGATTGGTGGGTCCGACGTATTAATTTAAGTGCAAGATAAATTTTTTCTTATTTGCTATTTTAGAGACATGGATTTTATTTTCTAAGGCTTAGTTTGGAAGGAGTACAAATACATACAAAATACAAGGTTTTGCATATTACATATTTGTATTTGTCATCCAAACTGAGCCTAAGCATCAATTCAATGGTGACAAAACAACACTATTTATTTATTTTTTAAAAATAATAAATCAATAAAAAGGAATCAACCTTCCAGTACCACAATTCATTATATATTCAACCCCCCCCCCCCCCAAAAAAAAAAAAAGAAAAGAAAAATCTCCTCCACTGCTTGGCCAGTGTTTGTGTAGCCGAAGAAAAATTAAGGACCCAAAGGAAAATATATTGAGAGGTTAAGAAGCAAACAAGTAGAATAACTGATAACTAATAAATGTAGTAAAGGTCCTTTGGTTCACGTCTCACCCTAGCTAACTTTATAAAAAGGCCATGTGGTCACATGATATGTTCAACTAATAAACTACTCCAACCCTATCTCCTTCTCCGTGCCAAGATGACAGGGGTAGAAGAGATGGGGCTTGGAGATAGCAGAGAGGAAGCCTGCACACAAGATGGGACTGTGGATCTCAAGGGCCGCCCCATCCTAAGATCAAAGGGGGGGAGATGGAAGGCTTGCTCTTTCATTGTAGGTAAGCTAAGGTTGCCATTTCTCAAGACTTCCCCACTCTATTTTCTGGGTATCATGCATCTAATACCCATTTTCTTTAACTCATATCTTTCAACTGATCTTCATGGTTGTATAATTAACAATGGAGAACTTTGAGAGCTGAGATGATTCATGAACAAGAAGAACTAACAGAGAACTTTTCTTTTGTCTACTCATCATCCTTCAGTTAAATATTGTCTGAGATCACATCAATTGATAAGTAGTCTAGATAGTTCATGGATTGGTTTCCTTAATCAGAAGCACCCTCTAGTTTGGTTTATGTGCATCCTGGAAAACTGAAGCAATAACTATATACTGCTAGCTAGAAATGCAGTACTACTCTACCTAGGCCATGCCTACTCTTGATGGAATAATCCCTATTGTCTGTGAGAGCAACTGTCTCCATACTTGGTGTAGGGTGCCCTAATGGTTTTAGCAACCAACAAATCCATCATCTTCTTCCTACAATAAATTAAAATGAATCAACTGCATGCGTAGCTTGACAATGTTAATTTCCTTCTGTTGAACTAATTACTTCTTCTTTTGTAGGGTATGAGGTATTTGAGAGAATGGCATACTATGGAATAGCATCAAATCTAGTTCTGTATTTGACAAACAAGCTCCATGAAGGGACGGTGGCATCTTCAAATAACGTGACCAACTGGGTTGGTACAGCATGGATGACTCCAATCTTAGGTGCTTACATCGCAGACGCCCATCTCGGCCGATACTGGACTTTCATCATCTCGGCAGCACTCTATCTTATGGTAATTACACACAGTAGATATCTATACGCATGCTTACACAGAAAAATGAAAAATACTTTCTTTAATGCAAAGCAGATACAATTACATGCGATATACATTCTACCATCTCAGACAAACCCAGCCATTCTTTCTGCTTGTCTGCAAAATACAAATTGTACTCAGAGTCAGGGGTGAATCCAAATGAATCTACATTAATGCAAACTGAACCTGCAGTTTAATTTGCAGAGATATTCCAGACACAGTGAACCAAGTATTATCGCAAGAGAGGTCGAACATATATGGTGCATGGTACGTGTACCTTGCATATTAGAACACGTCTCTCTGACCACTGTCGATCAACAGAAACCACTCGTAGTCTTGCGATATTTTTACTCATTTCTTCCTCAGAATGTTTCAGTCAAGTATGTTCAAGGCTGGATTTGAATTGAATAATTGGGTGACCGAGTCAGACAGATCATTCATTGTGATTGCAAATATGTTTGATGTGAAGTAGGCATGAGTGCCTCTGAACAGGGCCCCACTAGCTGTAAACTAGTTGATGATCATCAAGATGTAACGTTGCGATCAGTACAAAAATTAACTAAAATATATATACTAGAACTAGCTAGCTACACATGAAATCTGTGGTCTGCTAGCTAGATTTGGCCAAGCTTCTCCTTATTAACTCTTGTACACACAGGGAATGTGCCTGCTGACTCTAGCAGTTTCGCTGCGGGCGCTGAGGCCACCATCCTGCGAGCCCGGAGTGAAGGAAGACGACTGTACCGAGCGAGCCTCGCCATTTCAAGTGGGTTTCTTTTACTTCGCATTATACATAATTGCAGTAGGGGCAGGAGGAACCAAGCCAAACATCTCAACCATGGGAGCTGACCAATTTGATGAATTTGATCCCAAGGAGAGGACCCAAAAGTTATCTTTTTTCAACTGGTGGATGTTTAGCATCTTCTTTGGGACCCTCTTAGCCAACACTTTCCTTGTCTACATACAAGAAAATGTTGGCTGGATTGTGGGCTATGCCCTTCCCACTCTCGGGCTAGGACTTTCAATCTTAGTCTTCTTGATGGGCACCCCACTCTATAGGCACAAGGTACCTGCTGGGAGTCCCTTCGCTAAGATGGCTAGGGTACTAGTGGCTGCAGTAAGGAAATGGAGGGTGCCTGTTCCACATGATCCAAAAGAGCTTCATGAGTTGAGCTTGGATGAGTATGCTAAAACTGGCAAGTTTAGGATTGACAACACTCCTTCATTGAGGTCAGTTCCTATTATCCTCTCTATTTAATTAGTTGCTAGCTCCATTCTATCTTTGTTATCCTAGCTATTTCATTTTGGTTTTTCTACCATCTTCTGATGATAATATCTCTGCAGAATCCTGGACAAGGCGGCAGTAAAGTCTGGCCCCGGCGGGTCTCCATGGATGCTATGTCCAGTAACCCAAGTGGAGGAAACCAAACGAATGATAAAAATGATTCCAATTCTAGTCACAACGTTCATACCCAGCACCATGTTGGCTCAGCTGCAGACCCTATTCATAAAACAAGGCACCACTCTGGACCGCAGCATGGGGCTGCATTTCGACATCCCTCCTGCATGTCTCACCGCATTTGTGACTCTCACCATGTTGATCACCCTTGTACTCTATGACCGCTACCTGGTACCAGCTATTAGGCGATACACAAAGAACCCCAGAGGGATTACACTGTTGCAGAGAATGGGGATTGGACTAGTGATGCATGTCATTATCATGACAACGGCATCTCTTGTGGAGAGGAAGAGATTGAGTGTTGCTAGAGATAATGGCATCGTTTCTAAGCATGAAACAGTCCCTCTATCTATCTTCATACTTCTCCCTCAGTTTGTTTTGATGGGTGTGGCTGACACATTTGTGGAGGTTGCAAAGATCGAGTTCTTCTATGACCAAGCACCAGAAGGCATGAAAAGCCTTGGAACCTCTTATTACACTAGTAGCTTAGGAATTGGATACTTCCTTAGTAGTTTTCTTCTTTCTACTGTTTCTGATGTTACTAAGAAATATGGCCACCAAGGCTGGATTTTGGATAATTTAAACAAGTCCCATCTGGACTACTACTACGGATTGAGTGCAGCATTGAGCTTGATCAACTTTGTTTTCTTTGTCTTTGTTGCCAAGCTCTATGTCTATAATGTCGACTTTATGGAATCAAAAAGGGAGCTGCAGAGAGTCATGGAGGTTTATCCAGACAAGGCAAACACTCTAGAGGATGAGGGTTCAAAGGATGGAATTAGCTAATCAAATTCCTTATTGTAATTTGTTTTACCACAGCAGAGAGCAACACTACAAAATCATTTTAACATTTCATTGTATTTTTTTTTTCTTAATTAATATATCATCTATTGCCCAATTTTGTACTTCATCATACCTCTTAATTAGCAAAAAGAGTAATGGCTAGCTAGGATGTAAATTAAAAGATGATGACAGCCGATATTCGATAATGGCTGAATCGGCTGAACTGAATAACATATTGCTTTTCTATTCTTTTAGTGAGTGAATAAGCCATGACCCATGACTGAGTTTCTAATTCATATATGACTGAATGGATCGAATACTGGGGCAATTACTATACACCCTTAAATATTTTATTTATGACTAGTTTATTCACTAAAAAGCAAGGCAATAATTCATCCACTTCAACCATTGTTACATACCCCGGAACAGTATTCAGATATTTGGTCCGATAAATATTGTCCGAACCGCTTACAACATAATATACATATATGAAGAAATTACTCAAAGACCCTTTATTCCTCTCTAATAAAACCATATTTCAAGTTATTTGTGTATGAAATAATTTAATAAAGAGAAAATCTATCATGCCGGAAATACATGGTATCGGAAGAGCTTTGACCAATCAAAATTCATCCATGAATTTTGATAAATACCACCTGATTAGTTAGGGTTCGATTATAGATTACAGATTATAATTTAGAGACTCTAATTAATTAGTGGAATTCAAATATGTGATAATCCAGTAAAATCTGAATTCGGATGGTCCTTTAAACATCCGGATGTTTGAGTGAAATTTAAGGGTAAAATATAAAGAATTCCCCTAAAGTTTCTGACAATCATAACAACCTCTCTTATAGTGTTACTTTAACAAAAAACCTCTCTTAAACTTTTAAAGTATTCAATAAAAACCTTCCCTCTGTGTGTTATAGGGTTGCAATTTGGGTCGGGTTAGGTCGGGTTGAGGCCAGCCCTAGCCCAATCCTATGCTCTAAACCCCCAACCCTAACCCTAACCCTAACCCAACCCGACTCAACCCGATGTCAACTTCAGGTTGAGTTGGGTTCGGGTTGGGCCCAACCCAACCTTCCCATCCCGTAAGATCTAGTAGAAAAATAAGTATTTATTTATCATGAGTTATGACTTATGATAGATTTTTTCTCAAAAATATAAATTCATGAAATAAAAAATAATGAAACATAATCAGGGAAATAAAATCACTAATAACAATTCATAGGATCAAGCAAATAATTTGAATTTATTTGATAGGTCACACATAAAAATTACATGTAGTAGAGTTGTAGACTAGTAGACTAATAGTCTAGTAATATAGGGAGTCGGGTTGCCTGAGGGGTCAACCCTAACCCAACCTGAACTAAGGTCAGGTTCAGGAATTTCAACCCTAACTTGATCACCCGGCCCAACTTGCAACCTTAGTGCGTTAGACTGATGCATCATTTTTCTTAAGTACCTATTTTATCCTTTTATAGCTCTCTTTAAAAGTCCACGAAAAAAAAATCTCCCTTTGACCTCTTTATTACACTTACCTGTTTTATAGAGCGATCCCTAGAATCCATCATTGTAATCCCGTCGGATTTTTAGAGCGATCCCTAGAAACCTCTAAAAATCGGTTACTTCTCCACTACAAACATTGTTCTTGCCTTTCTCGTCCAAACACAAGCACAAATATGCCATCTTGACCTCTCTGATGAGCTCTTCGGTGGCGCCAGTGAAAAATGCTGTCACAACCTTGATCGTAGCCGCTGTTGTCCGGTATGGTAGGTTAGCACTTCAAGTTCCTGCGGCCACACCAACGTCATCATATGGTCCAATGATGCCGGATGATTTATAGATGTGCGTCAACTCACTCAGAGCTCGTTCCAGAGTCGTAACATTCACATTCCTCATCCAAATTCAACGTGCGATGCGATTCTCTATTTGTGGAATTCGGCTCCACCAGATCAGCTCACTGTCTGCCCCACCACGTTTAATTTACTTCCTACCGGAATGCAACACCGACGGCTGCCGTAAATAATTTGGAACGAAATTGTCAGAATTCATCATATTCTGGATGCATATAGTGTCTCGATGCCCTCAGAAAGGTCAGTTCTTTGACCGAGTTCTTAATTCTTTATCTCACAGATGCATTCTTTCATGATAAATTCTGATTTTAGCAGTATTACAGATTTTCAGCTTCTACTGTGGTTTCATAAAACATGAAAGTGACTCTCACATTTTTCATTTCAGAGAACAAATGGAAGTGGTTCTGGTATAACATGGAAATGGAGACCAGGTTTTATGGATGTTTGTCATTCTTCCTTCTTTTTGTATTTTTTCCCATTCCCATTGCTAACATGCTTTGTCACTATTGCTATAGGGTAGTTGTTTCTAATGCCAGGAGAAAACAACAACCGATTGAGGTAGGGATTGCCAACCAAGTAAGCAAATACAAAAGCTCGACAAGACTAAGCAAGAAGATAACTGTGAAAGAATTGCAGAAACCTCTCTCTCCTAACTCGCGAGAGAGACCATCAATCATGAAACAGGGGTATTTCAGTAAAAATATATGTAAACTAGGGTAATATGGGTATTTGAAAAATATTAATGCATCAGTTTAACGTCTGAATCAGTGACGGAATGGAGGTTTTTGTCGAGTTCTTTAAATGTTAAAATTAAACTATAGGGGAGGTTTTTGTATTTTACCCGAAATTCAAATTATCATTTCCATTCGAATTTGAACTCCGTTTACACCTCTATACCCCATGCATTTTTTTTTTTWAAAAAAAAACAAGCATAAGCATTCCCATGGTTTTCAAAAATAACCTTAGGCATTTGTCGTCTAATCTCCACTTAACCACAAACAGAAATGTATAAGACAAGAAATTAAACCCATGCTTCTATTAAATTTAAGTTCCAAAAATACACTTGTATAATACATTAAATTGTTTTTTTTTTTTTTTGTATTATCATGACAACAAACTTTCTACACAAACCTGCAGGGGTCTGTAGCCCTCCACCTATTTAATAAATTCTGAAAGTAAGATTATCATCTCCAAGATCCAAATAACTTACTGTGGCATCTCCCAAGATAAGATCTAACTTAGTCAAAATCTATGATATATTTGCTGCATTCCACCGTGCAATAAAAAAGAAAAAATGTAGACCAATGATATGTCTGGTTCACGTCTTGTTAAATGTGAAATAAGGGGTGATTGGTTAAGACTGGATTTAATGTGAAGGCAATGTCAGTGAACGCATATCGTAGCTGTAGCTGTAGCTGAGCTCTTAAACCTATCAAGCTCAAATTTTCTTAAAACAAAAATCTTTTCTTCCTAGAAATCTATCTCCAATCCTGGCTATTCTTTGTGAAAAGAGATCTCCACTCTTTCCTTGAAGTTAATTTTTCTAGACAAGTCAAGAAATGAAAAGCAAGCAAGACAATCTCCTTGGACCTTGGATTCAATTCAATATAACAGTGCAATACATTTTAATTTGAGTTACACTACATCAAATATACATGCAACACAAATTAAGTGATCCATCCTTCACTTGACACAAATTATTACAATCTAGAATGCCATATTTGTTGGTGAAGGCAGCGGCGGCATGCATGAAGCTGGTGCAAATTTGTCAATCATTGCAAACATTCAAGGATATGTGTTGTAGATTTCTCCTCTCACTAGATCCAACAATCAGCCTAAGCCCCAGACTCCTGGTTAGTGACCTTAAGTGACTTCATCTGAATGTCTTCCTTGAGAACTTGCATTGAATTGGAGACCTCTGCTCTGTAAACATAGAACCTAGTTATAACAATGAAGAAGATGAAGTTCAAGAGGTTCAATATTGCAAAGAATGCATAGTAGTAGTCCAAGTGCGATGCATTTAGGTTATTTAGAATCCATCCCCTGTGGCCATGCTTCTTGGTGATGTGAGACACTGTGGAAAGAAGGAAACTGCTAAGGAAGTTTCCAATCCCTAAACTGGTCATGGAATAAGAAGTTCCCAAACTCTTCATGCTTTCAGGTGCCTGATCATAGAAGAATTCAATCTTTGCCACCTCTAGAAACGCATCAGCCATCCCCATGAGCACAAACTGAGGTAGTAAAATGAAAATGCTGAGAGGAACTCTCCCCCCATTTTGTTCTAAACCATGATCTTTGGCTACACTCAACCTATGTCTCTCAGTAAGAGATGCAACTGACATGATTATAATGTGAAAAACAAGGCCAATTCCCATTCTTTGAAGGAGAGTGATCCCTCTAGGATTTTTGGTCCATCTCCTCATAATCTTCACAAAATATCGGTCATATAGCACGACACAGATGAGCATGGATATTGTTACAAATCCGGCTAAGCTGGCCGGAGGAATTTGGAAGCTCCCTATACTCCTGTCAAGAGTAGTCCCTTGCTTCACAAAAAGGGTATTGACCTGAGCGATCATTGCACTGGGCACAAACGTTGCTGTCAAGATTGGGATCATATGGAGCATTTGCTTAGTCTCCTCTACTTGGGTTACTGGACAAAGCATCCATGGAGTGTTGGACTCTGTCTTTACACAGGCTTTGTTCAGGAACCTGCATTCATTCACAACAACAACAACAAAAATGTTATTACATAGAGGAAAAGCACTTACAGAAAAAGTCTTAAACTAAATGACAAGCCCAGGAAACTAACACTAACCTCAAGGAAGGTGTGGACTCAATCTTGAACTTCCCTTTCTCTTCGTATTCCCTCAAGCCAAGCTCGTAGAGCTCTCTGGGGTCACTAGGAATGGGCACCCTCCATTTCCTCAGGGCAGCCACTATGACTCTAGCCATCCTAGTGAAGGGACTTCCTGTGGGTACCCTGTGCCTGTAGAGTGGTGTACCAACCACAAAGATAATGACGGATATGAGAAGCCCAATTGTTGGAAGCCCATAACCTAGGGTCCAGCCCACGTTGTCTTGAATGTACACAAGAAAAGTGTTAGCAAAGAGAGTCCCAAAGAATATACTGAACATCCACCAATTGAAGAAGGAGAGCTTATGGGCCTTCTCCTTTGGGTCGAAGTCGTCAAATTGGTCAGCCCCAATTGTTGAAATGTTTGGCTTGGTCCCACCAGTGCCCAATGCCAGTATGTACAGAGCACCATAGAACACAGCCAGTTGCGCTGTTGAGGCCTTCTTGCAGTCAGTTGCAACTATTTGCTGACAAGGGGGTGGTTTCAGAGCAGAGATTGACACTGCTAGTGTTAGAAGACTCATCCCCTGTCATCAAAAGTCAAAGTATTAGATTTAAAAAGAAAAAAAAAATGAAAGCCCATGGAGGCCCAGTTAGGAACATGATGGGCAGGGCTTAAAGAAATAGAAAATTTGTCTCTCCAACTCCAACCTGGACTTTGAAAACTAGGACCCTTCTTACGTAGAATGAGTCAACAAGGAGACTTTGATATTCTTGTTGATCTGTCTGTTTCAGTTTTGCATACTATAAAAAAAAACAAAAAAAACAAAAAACTACATATAACGCCAAGAGGTCCAAAGGGACGTCTTCCTACTCCGCCAGACAGACCCAAGCACCACAGATTCCGTATGGGTTCATGTGAAGAAATTGGGCCCAAACTGAGGTGGTCAATGAGTTCCAAAGGTCCCACACTAGACAGTAGACATCACTCTGTGAAGCATGAAGCAACATATTACCATGAGATAGATGGCAGATGCGATGAGGAAGGTCCAGTAACGGCCCAGATGTGCATCAGCAACGTATGCACCCAAGATGGGTGTCATCCAGACGGTCCCGACCCAGTTGGTGACATTGTTGGAAGATTTGACTGTTCCCTGATGGAGCTTCCTTGTCAAGTAAAGGACCAGATTCGACGAGATACCGTAATAAGCCATACGTTCAAACACCTCATAAACTGCATGTCCACAATTTCAGCAATCAGCAAGTATAAATTAGCAGTTAATTGACACCGGCAGAGCATATAAAAATGTAGAGATTCCTGGTGGTTGGTTGGTTTAACTGGTGGGAGATGGGCTGGTATTTCAAAGGTAGGGCCCAGGAAAGGAGACCTTCTTGACTTCAAATTAAAATTAAAAAAAAAATCTATTATTCTAGTATAAGTATTGCTACTTTTAGGTGCATGTGAATGTGCCTAGAAAGAAAACAACCCTTTTCCACTATTTTTTTTTTCACATGATGTTATTCTCTCTATCAGCTTTTACTTCTTTAGTTAGGGCCCATTTGGAAGGGCTGAATTCAGCTATTCAATCAAAGAAGCTAGTTCAGTTGATTTGAAGAGTTCCAGTAAGCTAGGCTTTCCATATTTTGAATCAAATATAGCTTATAGGCTGTTTGTGTGGAGCCCACATCGGATTTCTGGAATCTGCTGCACTTAAAGCTCTCTCAAACTGGCACATAGATTGGGGTCAAGCAAGATCAATCTACCAAAGTTGACCCAGATTCCTGTTGATGGGTCGTTTCATATAAACAATGATAGAAGGGGTATTACAGACCAAAGCCCACCAACTGATGGTGGCTCCATAGGTACTTGGTAGGATCTTTGGAGACTTGGGATTAAGGTTGGAGGGTTATGGATTTGAGAGATGGGCTACTCCTGTTGTGTGAGTTTGGATCTCCTGCAAGCGAGTTCTGAGTCCCGTACAATATATGTTTATTTATGGGGAGATGTTCCCATTGTGTGGCTCGATTCCTATGCTTTCAGGGTATGTGTAGAGCTTTTACTCACAGGGAATCTCGTTAGCTGTTGTGTAGCCCCACGAAGAATAAAAGAAAAAAAAAAAAACACAATAGCTGAATGAACAGTTCACATCCAAAATAACTTTAAGCTGAGATCAGTAACTTAACAAGTGGCTGATATATAAGAGGTCGGCAATTTGATAGTGGCTTATTGTTTTGTCTCTCAATAGATAAAATAATTAAATAAATAAAATATTTAAGGATATAGTAATTGATTCAGTTTTAGTTTCATCCATTAAGATACCATATAACCTCCTTCATAACTTTTTCACTGAAAGACAACAAGAAGTCAATCAATTCATCCTGTTGTGACATATATAAGAGTAACTTATGGTTATAAAGAATTCATGGAAGAGCTTGAAAATGATACTGAATTTGGGAAAAGAACATTGATTTAATCAATCAAATTATTGAGGGAGTAAACTAAATTATGTTAAAAAACAAATAATGATCATTATAATATTTGATATAGTCAATTATTGGTGAACCAAATGCAGGGAAGGAGACTTGGTTACAGAGACTTTGACTAAAAGCTATGGAATCGGATTCATCAACAACACTAGCCAGACCATCTTCATGGTTGGAAATAGTATGGAAATCATCGATATAATTAATTAGCTAGGGAGATAATAGCCTAAAAGGAGGCTTCCTTTGATTTCCTCCGTTTTAGAGGGCTTCATAGCAGAAAAGATTGAGAACTAAGGGGAAAGTTTTCAAGTTAGATGCATAGTTTCCTGTACACTTCTAAAGTGGTGGTGGTTCTTCAAAGTATCGAATGATATAAGACATCACTTAGAGCGATGGAGGTGTGGGATGAAACCAGCTGCATGGCTGCAGGCTCTGTTGTCTCAGTGCATCTCACTTTGTCCCCACCTCTTAATCCCTTGTAAATTTATTCAAACCAGAGAGAGAGAGAGAGAGAGAGAGAGAGATGTACCAACAATGAATGAACAGGCTTTCCAACCACCTCTCTTGGATCTAAGGACAGGTTTTCCTTTGAGATCGACGGTGCCATCCAGAGTATACTGATGATGATCACCATGCCCTTCTTCCTCTCCAGCCATGGCAGCTGATGACTAATCAATCACTCATTACTATAAGATAGGCTTTTGCTGCTTTACTACAAACTGGTCTTCTACTACTACTATTGATGCCTCTGTACCCAATACCAACCCATTCTTATATAGGCCTCCCTCTCTCTCTCTCGCGCTCCTCCTGCCTTCCACGAGAGCGAGAGCTATAGTAGATAATGTCAAAAAGAAGACAATTCCCTCCATGTAAAAAAGAAAAATAAATAAAAAAATCTGCTGATCACATGCCAGATGCCACCCCAACGAAATGCAAACACGCCAGCGTTTGAATTTCTTTTCCTGGTCCAGATTAACTAGTTTAGTAGAGTTATGGTCTACTTTTTACTTGTTCTTGGCATGATGGACCTGAATGACAAAATTTCCAGTAATAGAAGGGTTAATTTTGCAACCATATACACCATGATGGGTCAGTGGACCTACGAGGCTACAATAATCCAACTTCTAATTAACCTCTCTAGTCGGTAGTTCTGAGTTTTGACACACTTTGATCTTATACGGGTCGGGCCTTATAAGATAAAAGTAAGTATCCACTACTTGGCATCTCTAGTAGCTGGAATCTGCCGACCCGTTTAAAAATCCCCTCTTTTTGGCTCAGCATTAATTGTTTTGGTTCACATTGTAGCCCAAATATTTGACCCAACAGCTAGCAAAGGAATAAGATAAAGCAGCTAGTGGCATTCTCCCAAACAGAGGAAGAAGTAGAAAGCGCATCAAATGAATTAAGCCTACTTTCTACCAGTGGAGGCGACTTCACCTTGTAACGTAGGATGTATACTTGACACCATGGCATCAATTCTCTGACACCAATCCAACGTGCAAAAAATGACAGACCCCCATTGAATGAGAATTCTTCTTTCTAGATGCACACCCTTTCTTAACGTACGTAGGAATCTGTATTAATTTAAAGAAAGACAGAGAAAGAGAGAGAGAGAGAGAGAGAGAGAGAGAGAGGCTGTTATTGCTCTGATTGATCACCCTATCGATATGTTTTCCAGGAATGGCATTTGAAAGTGTCGTCAGGTAGAGCCAGTAGCTTCAGATTGCTGAACTCTAAACCATCCAAAGCGACCCACCAATGGCATACGCAGTGGGTATTCTAGTTCATGCCCAATTGCTCCGCTTGTTCAGTAATGGTTCCTGTTCCATCAGTGTTATGAAAAAAAAGCAGTACAGTCGGACAAGGTTGGGGTTGTACTGTCGGACTAAGGTTGGTAGTGAAAATCTGAGAATTTTCAATTATAAGGAGGTCTGCATAGGCTCTAATGGGTTCAGTGAGGGTTAGGTGTTTGGGAGTAGCGGTTGGTGATGGAAATGTGGTTGCAGTGGAGTGCATGGTAGAGAAAGGGGAGTGGCTTTTTGTAGCAGGGCTGGTGGCGGTGGCTCAATCTGGTGGTACGTGGATCCCACATATACCAGAAATCCAAATAGATGGAATAAAGGCTCACTATTACTACTACACCTTAGCAGAAATATGATGTAATCGGTGAACTGCCGATTTCAAAGTTTGACTAGCAAGAACTAAAACTTATCAATTTCCTTCTTATAGGTGATTGGGAAAGCATGAAGACACCGACAACGATGATGATAATCACTATTGGACGAATTGGGTTCTTCTATTGGGGAGTGGGATGCAGAGCAGGGGATGACCGTTCCTCACCTCTGACTACGGTCATGAAGTTCCGATGACCCCTCGTTTTTGAGTGCTCCAACTTCGATTAGGGCTCGGATTGAGAAAACGTTGGCGGCCTCTCTGCAGTGTTAGAGGCCATCAACGAGCATCTTCTGCTCTGCTCCCCTCTAGGATCAGGAATACCCCCTCAGTTCAATGCCGAAGTACCCACCGACGAGACAGATACTGAACTAGCTAAGACTGAGTGCGGTAGGTGTAGGTGTTGAGAAAAAGCCTGTTATCTCACAATAGCCAAATAACAAAATATATATATCTGAATGAAACAAAATAATTTTGTTTTTCTCTTTGTGCAATTAAATGGGCATGCAAACCAAACATTACCAAGTAGAAAAATTATATGCAATAATAAAAATACAATCCACAAATAGAATACACAAGATTTTAACGTGGAAAACCCTTCAAAACGAAGGGAAAAACCACGGGCAACTAACCACTTAAAAGCTTCCACTAATAAATCAATGGGATACAATAAAGTTCTCTCTCTTCTGTTTTCGATGGAAAGCTTCACCGAACTGTTCCAATTCACTCAACTTTCCGAGCAAGTTTTATTTGCTCATAGCTGTCTTTGCTAATACAAAGACACATGAGGCTGCTTTTTATGAGCCTCTTCGACTTCTACCCCCCCCCCTCTTTTTTTATTTTAGTGGGCCCTCCAGGTGGGAAGGGAGCCCAACCAACAATAGGTACAGCCGCATAACAGTAAAGATTTTTGTTGGATTACTAAACATTCATAAACTAGAGAGAGAGAGAGGGAGAGGAACATAATGGCCGGAGTTGCGATGAAACGAGATGGGTGTTCTGGCTGAGAGAGAAGAACGACAAAGGCTGGAGCTGTGATGAAATGAGATGGGTGTTTTGACGGGGAGAGAGAGACACAGGTAGACAGACAAAGGAACGGTAGAGGCCGGAGCTACAATGAAACAAGACGGGTGTTCTAACAGAGAGACAAGAAATTGTAATATGCGAAGGCCTATTAACTTCAACCTCGATCCAAAGTTTAGACGGGTAAACAGACAAAAAAAAACAGAAAAGGGAAAAAAAGCACAGCAGTACAAAGTTACCATCTGGAAGAAAAATGTCGGAGATGAAATGAAGATCTGGAAAGGCTTGTTCTACTGCGTCTGCCACACCTTCAGGAGAAGCCAAGTTTCTACACAGGTTCCGTATAGTACCTCCACTCCATCAGCAACCACCTAAGGAAGTTTCAACTGTTTGGATGTGTAAAGCTTTATCGCTCTCTCACATATACAGGAAAACTAACGAATTATTGTGAAAATTTGAAGGAAAATAATGGGTAAAATAGTCTTTTTCTCATATTTCTATTAACGTTGTTAATGATAAAAATGTTTTAGACAATTGTTAGAAAACTTAGGGATACTCAAACAATAGTTAAACATAAAGGGTATAGTTGGTCAATTAGTTAAACAGTAAAGGTATAGTTAGTCACTTAGTTAAATAGTAAGGGTAGTTTAAGAAATTTACCCTTGTGAAAAATCGACCCACTCAAATTGTATTGATTTGAGTCAATTTTTTGGTTTAGTCAGTCGGTTCAAATGATTTAAACTTAAAAATTTAATTTAATTTTAAAATTTACAGTGCAACTATTAAAAAATAAATCTAAAAATTAGATTTATGATATAAAACATTTTAGACTAAGAAATATGGGAAATTTGCACTTTTTAATATTATAAATTATATTTAAAATATAAAATATTAATATATATCCATGGTTAGGTCATTCGATTTTGGTCGGTTTACAAATAGCCAAAGTGAAACTGATCCAACTTGGTCGAATTAGGAAATTTTTTAACCAAAGCTAAACTAAAATACTAGAAAACCGACCAACTCGGGTCAAATTGATTAGGTTGGTTGGTTTCATCAGTTTGATGAATAAACCTAACTAAAATTAATTATTGTTATTTTTGTATTATAAAAAAATTATTAAAAATAGTATATAAAATATGAATAATTATTAATTATTTAAAAAGTTGAAAATATAAAACAATTGTATACTCTTATGTGTTTTTATTAGGGTCTTAGGGTCATTTACTAGAACACACCTTATAGTTTTCATTTTACTAAAACATCCCATATATTTTACAACTTATTTACTTAATCAACCTTTTATAAAGGAGTGTTTATTTTGCCACTAGGCCCATGATTTTTTATTCCAAAAATACTCTTAACACTTTTTTTGTACATAAAACAAAATTGACGAAATATAGCCAATAGAGTAGTTGTCCATGTCTTATTAAGGGCAAAAATGGCATTTTTGTTTTTATTTTCTTTTGATTAAATTTATTTAAATGAGAATTAGGGTCAACACTAACATTTTCCACTGCCATCTAATGGAAAATTGATTAAATCTATTGCAAATTATAAGTGGTGTTTTATTAAAATGCTAACTATATGGTATATTTTAGTAAATCCATGAAACTATAAGGGGTATTTTAGTAAATGACCATTTCTGTTATTTAGCTTTCACTTAATAAATCCCATGCATTGCACATGTCCCCGCTAGTATATATTATAATAATGATATATATAGGTTAATTAAATTTGGTTTTTAACCGAAAACCGAACCAAAAGTTTTGGTTCGATAATTTCGGTTTTCTTGTAATTAGGTTTCGGTTCGCTTTTCATTTTTTTATTTCGATATATTCAGTTCGGTTTTTAACCGAATAAACTGAATGCTCACCCCTAGAAAATGCATGCATGAAATCCAAAAAGATTGAAATTTTCAAATTTTGAGAAAGTTTTTGTCTTTTTGCATGATAAATAGCCACTTGCCAAATAGTCTTTATATCTTTCTAAAAAGACTTATCAAACACCTGCATATATATTTGTATTATTTTATACTCTTCCCAAACTGAGTTGAAAGTGCAAATACATGGTTTTGGGAATATCATATACAATCTTTTACTTCTGTGTGTGTGTGTGTGTTATTAAGGAGGTTTTTAACTCGTCAATGGTTGAAACTGAAGTTGGATATCGATTATATGTCGTTGAATATTTTCTTTATTTAGTTGTTTTACCAAGCCATTCAATTCACCACTTGGGCCATTATCTAATGGCCCTTTAATTGCTTAGTTAAATTTAATTATATAACTAGGGGTGTCCATGCATGAAAAACCGAACTGAATCAAGAAAACTGAATAACAAAATGCAGTTAACCGAACCGATCGGTTTGGTTTTGGTTAACCTACAAAAAACCATGATTAACCGAACCAACCAGTATATATATTTATATGTATGTAGCATATTATACATATATTTATATAAATATATATAACCAAACTGAGTTGAAAGTGCAAATACATGGTTTTGGGAATATCATATACAATCTTTTGCTTCTATGTGTGTGTGTGTGTTATTAAGGAGGTTTTTAACTCGTCAATGGTTGAAACTGAAGTTGGATATTGATTATATGTCGTTGAATATT